CCTGAAAGGAGCAGTTCCTCACCTCTCTTGTGCCTCTACCTGTCCCTGGCTGTTGGTGGCTGACACCTGGAAGCAGGTCTGTGCAACATCTGCCAGCAATTCTGGAATATGGGCAAGGAATTCTAACTCAAGTCTACCTATTCCCAAAGCACTGATCCACGGCAAAGAAAAGAATGCAAAGCAGAAATCAACACTCCCTGTCCTCTACTGTCTTTTTCTTTGTTCCTGCAACAGATTAAACAGGATTTTACTTAATTTGGATCTCTGTCTCTTCCTTCTTGAGTTTTCCCAGCTACTCTGCCCACAAAGCCTTAACCTTGTCTTTAACAATGAATTTATGTTGGAGACTAACAGCTGACAAAGTCATTTTGCTGGATGAAAGGAGTGTGATTTGGTCATATTCTATTGAAGTATTTAAATGGTATATGATATTGTTTGAAAGACAGGTAAGGAAAGGAAAGACAGACTACTTTTGTGGCTGGTAAATATCCTTTGTTGAGGAAGTTCTTTTATGGAGAATAATATTAACATTAACAGGATTTAAACTTGCTATATATAAACAGAAATCCTTCCTCTCTGTCTCCATTTAGGAAAACTTCAAAATGCAGAAAGGAGAACTGCCACAGATCATCATTTCCATGTCCTAACGAAAACAAGCAGTTGTCTGACATCCTATGGCAAACAGTTTAGGACTTGAATCCCTGCATGTATGTTTGCATAGGTGATGAGCTAATTTCCTTAGCCAGGGAATGAATAATCCAGGGACAAGCCATTTTTCAGGAACACACACAGGGATGAGCCACATGCAGGGCACAGAGCGCTGCCAGTACAGTGATCTTCCGTGACTGATCTCTGCTGTCAAATACCACTGAGAGCTTTTGAGCAAACCATTAAAAATACAGGCAACAAGAATTCATCTTCTCCCTCTGAAGGACAGACCAGCAAAAGGAATTCCTCTCTAGCCCTGCAGTCCCCTCCTGACACTCTTCTCCCTGTGCTCTCTTCCTCCAGAGCAGCTGCACACACATGAGCGCGCATCGGCAGCGGGCAAGGGATGAGACAGCATTTTCCAGATCTAAATCCCAGTGCCTAATGAGAAGTTATCCCCCTGCTGTGCAGCTATCAACAAAACTGTCTTCCCAGACATAAAATCCTTTCAGTTATTCAGTCTGCTTCAGAGATTTGGAACTGGCATATAAGAATCTAAAGCAACACCTGCTTTCCATCTTTTCTTGTCTTTTCAAACATTTTTCCCATTTTTTTTTTTAATACACAGATTTGTAATTTAAATCTATAATCAAATTTGTAATTTAAATCTATAATCAAGAGCTTTACAGAGTAGGCAGTGAATCTAGAAAGACAGAAAAGAAACAAACCAATTAATCAGAATCTATTAAGTGAAAACTGAATTTCTAAGGGCTTAAGAGCTTTACAGAATAGGCAGTGAATCTAGAAAGACAGAAAAGAAACAAACAAATTCATCAGAATCTATTAAGTGAAAACTGAATTTCTAAGGGCTGTTTCTCCAGAGACATGCTGACTGGAACAGCCAGAGTGTTTGCTTCCCAAGTATGGCCAAGCCATTTATCAGACAGGCCATTGATCAAATGCATTGTTTGGCACTGTTTACACCGAGGTTGCCCACCTCCCATCCATCTGTAGCTGCAGGGCTCTGACCCTAAACAAAAGGAAAGGGGCCAAGATGAGATTTTGTACCTTAAGCAGATTACCCAGGAGATGGTGCTGGCATCTGATGACTTGGTTATGGAATTGCAAACAGGACACTGAATTCTTGGGGTGGCAGCACCAGAGGGGGTTAAGAGCTGTGTTTAATGGAAGTGGTTAGAATTACCAGACAAGGCAAGAGCACTCCTGGCACTTACTGGCAAGATCCCAGGGCATAAGTGATCGATCCAGTGTAACTGGCAGTATCAGCTCTTTAAAGGCTAGCTTGCAGTCTGAAGAAGTTTGAACACTTTGAGGAAGTACTTCCTAGAAATACTTGGAGAAAAAGTATTTCCATGAATAAAAGGAGGGAAAAAAGTCACTAGTGACTGGGGACGAGGAGTGGAGGAACAGTATCTTTTGGCCAGCTGTTAATAGAACCACTGAAAACTTGTGAGAGCTACCAGGGCATCTCCAAAGATCCCCACATCACTATTAGCATAACATCCCTTACTGAATGGGTTTTGAGTATACTTTTGGATTAACACTTCACTATAACACTTCACTAAAACACTTTCCAAATACTGTTCTAAACTATCTTTTAAATTTAACTCATCGATCTTTTCATTAGATCAGTGGTACCCATCTCTGTGAGGCACACCAACAACAAACTAGGCAACTGAAGAGTGACTAAATATCTGCTGATGTTAATTGATGCACAGATGTCTTTCTCATCTAGAAAGTACCTCCTAGAAGACAGTGAGCTCAGAAAGCAAGGAGCAGGTTGCTACAGCAAATATATGTCTCTTTTCCCTGGTTCCATGCTGAGGCAACAGATCACAAAAAACCAAAACAACAAAAACCACAAAACATAAAAAACCCAAAAAAACAAACAACCACAGAAAAAAAAAAGAGGCAAAGTTTGGTGGATCTCATTCTTGAGTAGGTACACTCCTCATACCTGTTCCTCTAGAGATATAAAAGAAAACTTGCAGCTCATTCTGCCAGTAAGCCTGATGTTTTGAACCAGCAGTATAACCTGAATGTGTTATTCAGATCCACAAATTGTAACAGCTGTTACACAAAATCTCAGCTACTGTTCAGTAAGGAAGTTCCTTTGAATAATGAGTGTCTCTCATGTGTTCATGGCAGCATCCTATGCTATGCCCACCACAAAGAAAGAGACTTCATCCCTTGCCTTGCTACAGCTCATTCTGCCAGCAAGCCTGATGTTTTGAACAGTATAACCTGAATGTGTTATTCAGATCCACAAATTGTAACAGCTGTTACACAAAATCTCAGCTACTGTTCAGTAAGGAAGTTCCTTTGAATAATGAGTGTCTCTCATGTGTTCATGGCAGCATCCTATGCTATGCCCACCACAAAGAAAGAGACTTCATCCCTTGCCTTGCTCCATATTTAGCATCTTTCGTAACCATTACCAAAAAACCATTGTGCTAAATTATTAACCTGCAAATCTGTGCCTGCTGTACCCACAGGGCAGCACCATTACAAAGGTATAGAGAACAGGTTCTTCCACCTGGAGGGGTAGCAGATGTTCTGAGCCAGGAGAATGGCAGAGAAACACTGTCCCACCACTTGGGAGGGATCACACCCATGAAGAATGACTTCAATTCCTGCAGCACCAAGTCCCTTCCCTGCAAGCCAGGATCTCACTGCAGGTCAGGCTATAAGCCTGTTGCTTGTTTTGTCTCATGTTTGCTTCAGTTCCTTCCTGATAATGGTCTTAATATGTAAACAAATATAATGCTTAGGTCACATCCAGTTACTCGTGAGAAAAGCACATTTCTATGTGAAATATGGCACATGAAATATTCACACATTGACATGTGTTACAGCAGGATGCACACAATTTGGAAATAAAAGCAGCAGGAAGGAACAGAGGGAAGTTGCTAATTTTTTTCAGTCTTCAGTCCAGACCTTGTGATTTCATCTCCCTGGAGAAGTGACTGCTACAGCAAGAACAGGTTTTTCCTTAGAATTAGCAAAATCTCCCTGCCTGGCCCCATACGTTGCTGTCACTGCTCTAAGGCAGCAGGGTCTAACACAGGTCAGGAGGGGCACTTCTGTGTTTCTCTATGTTATTCCATTAAACATAAAATAGGGGCATCAGGAGAGGGGTGCAAATCCAGGCAGTGATAAGGAGATGCAAATTCACATCCATTAATTACAAGGCCTTCCAAAATCCTGGAGAGATTTTTTTCCTCTATTTTTAGCTGGTACTGGAACAAATCCATAAAAGCTTTACATTTAATGCTCTGCAGGACATACTGAACTTTGGGCTGATCATTCACACTACAAGATGATCTAGCAGTCCTGCATTCCCACTTGTTTTGTCAGTGGAGCATCACTCTATTTCACTTTTATTCTTTAAAATGCCAGAGCACATCACCCTGCAAGACAGCGAAAGAAGAAACACAGTTAATGAAAGCAACAAAACTAAAAGCAGCACCACCAGCAAAGCAAAACCAGTAAGAAAACTACATGCAACCTCCACAGCCTTTAAAAAAAAAGTAAATTATTAGAATGTGGTGACAGAGGTAGCTCTTGACAGAAGCTCTTGGCTAGTGGTTTTTCCTTTATTGATAATTAAAATACAAAAAAAAAACTAATTTAGGCCTGACACCCAGTGATGACAACACAAATAGAAATTCATAAAAATTAACCTGACCTCTCTGAAGGACAACTTCATGAAAATCTTTCATTTTGATGGGAACAGACTACGAGTCACAGAGCTATTTTGCAAAAGCTGAAGAAGAATGGATGTTTGTAGGCTCTTTTTTACTGTACATTTGCTCTGAGTCCCTCAACGCCCACAATTTGTTCTACCACAATATACCTACAAATACCTACACCACAAATACCCTGCTGCTAAAGCCAAGGTATGTCAGCCTTTAAACTGTACGAAAAACTTCCATGTGCAGCACTGGACCAAGCAGGTCTGTGACATTTTCTGGCAGTGTAATGAGAGTCTGTTAGAGCACTCAGTATTTTCTTTCCTTTCTTTTCTCTTCCTTTCCTTTAAGCTAACATCCTTTTCCTGTGCCTGAGGGAGAAGGCAGTTGATAAAAGCCGAGTTCCTGTTCACAGATAAGTTTAGAAGGCAGGCAAGCTCAGAAGTTCCTTGAATAAGCTATATTCCTACCACCTCATTTTCCCCCCTGTCAGAGACGTCTGAGCCCCACACAGGAACCAGGCTCACATTGTTCAACAGCCACGGACGTTTCCACAGTAGCTGGGAGGGCCGAAAGCTCTTTCCGCTCTTTGTTACAATTTTTTTTTTTATTTTTTCCTTCCTTCTTCCAACTTTCCAGTTAAAGAATATTGCTGAGGCATTTCTGAAGTAATTCAGGCTGAGCTTCAGAGAAAAGAACAAGAGACAGGTGGAACTGGGGGGGAAGGAGCCCAGGATGCTCGTGAAGCTTTTGCTGGTCTGTAGCGCAGTAGGACTGGCACGGCTGGTGGAACACGCAGACCATCATGGAGATCATGATGGTTCCCTGCACAGCTTAAGGGTTCATGAGACCTCTGCCCACCCCCAGAGAACTCCTCTGCCACGCCACGAAGGTTACTGGGAGGCAGAAGGGCTCAGGGAGGATACTCAAGATTACCCTTCAAGTGTGATCTCCTCACATCAGGAAGAGAGAGGGGATTTGGAAGCTGCGAGCCCACAGCCCCGAAATGGGTAAGTACCCCAGCATGTCTGTCTTACACATAACAAGAGTGCAATCCTCTCTGATACTTCTATATTCTGTTGATACAGGACTGTTTCCATTAGAAGCTTCTCATTAAAATACATTAGATTTTAGGGGCCAATCTATATCCAAACAAGACTGGTTTAAATGCTTTAACTACACAAACAGAAAGCTGAATTACCTGTGGAGGTTGAAAACACAGATGGGAGCAGCTCTTTCCTTAATCTAGACAGCAGAATGGGGTTAGAGGTGTGCATACACCTGGCAGAGATGAAACTTCCCAGTTCTGCCAGAAAAAAAACTACCTCTGGCAAAGCAGAATTAGAGGAAGTTAATTTACTGACTGCTTCTTATCATGAACCAATGCTGATTATTTCTGCTGAGCATGGCAAACTTTGCCCATTAGCAGAAGGTACCTGCCTGCAGACTTGGGCCTTGGAAATGGAGAGGGAAAGGTAATGGCAGGATGTTAGCAAAATAAAAATAGCGAGGAGTAAATATAACAAAGTAAGGAATAATGAATAAGTATGAAAATTACTACAAATTTCACACCCCCACCCTCTTCCAAAGGTTTTCATACCAGCAAAATGATTTTCATGGTAATCTGTAGCAGAAGAGTAGCCATTCTGAGAGTAAAAGGCATGTACTTCACTAGAAATCTTCCCAAACCCTATGATTTGTGTAAGTTTTACAGGGCATGTAAGTAGGTCTCTAAATGTTTAAAATAGATGAAAACCAAGCAGGACAGTGAATGAATCTTTTATAGCCTTGATGGATGGGTACAGCAGAGCCCTGTTCAGGAGAGCTGAAACAGCAGCACACTGAGTGCTGTTCACAGCTCAGTGCTTTAGGATGCCCTGGTATTTTTCCCTTTAAATGCTCTTGAGGAAAGGAAAAAAGTGAGATGGAAAGAGACTATAAAACCTTGCCCATGTCATGCTTCCCTTTCATGCAAACTGAAGAATGCAATCTTGTTTCTAATCTCATTTACATGTAAAATTAAGGCCTCCCTTCTGCATGTAACATGGTGAATGTATGAAAACCTTGTTGTCTTTCATAATACACCTTCCCAAAAATCTGTACCTCCCCTAACAGCACCAAGGCACTTCCTAAAGCCTGCAAGGCTTCCTGATGGGTAGTGTTTGATAATGATGTGATCTGTTAATTAACCAACTCCTGGTTAATGCAGTTCAGACATGCTCAAAGGAAGGAAACAGGGCCCAAGGGGAACTCTGGGCTTCCAAGTTACTCTGCAAGGTGGTAATCATCTGACTGCTGATTGAAATGCTGAAAACATTCTGAAAACTCCCAGTAGTATGAAAATTCAATGCTGTAAAAAGGTCATCATCACAGGTCAGCAAGATGCTGTAATGCACTGTCCTAATCAGGGTTTCTTCCTTGGCTCTGGAGTTCTGTTCAGCACCAGCTTGTCTAATTCAGCTCAATACCAGCTATGACTCATCCTAATTTCCTCCCAAGGAGAGAAACACTTCCTTCTTTTATGGAGATAGTTGCATAATGAGTCAAATCATAACATTCTTCCTAATCATAAAGCTATGTGGATGACTACAGACAATCCAAATCTAGCCTGGCAGTAGCTTTAAGGTATTTGGTGGTTTTCAGAGCTGTCACACTTACAGCACACACAAGGCCAGGCAGCTGCTAGGTCTTAGGAAAGAAATTGGAGACTTTGAGAGGAATTATATCTAAAAGTAAAGGGAGAGAGGGTGAACAAGAAGGGACAACACAATTCTTCTTGTAACCACACTCCAAATTCTAAAATGGTTGAAGCAACACACCTTCAGAGCATGAAGTCCTCGTGTGCCTGTCAGCTGCTGTGGCTGCAGTACCTTGCTAGACACAGACAAGATGCCATGAATCTGGTACTTCCTCCCTACAAGTGTGACACATTCCCTGGAAAAAAAAAAAACCATCAAAAACCAGGGTTTATATCTCTCAGGAGGAGAACAAGAAGAAAAGCATCAGGAGTTAAATAGGAATGGAGAGATAAAGGGAAAGAAAGACATGCCACAAAAAGATGTGACAGACATGCCAAAAACAGTCCAGGATGGTGGACAATAGTTTTCTATCAAAATGATCTTACATCTAGTTTGCTTTTGAAATAACAAAAGAATAGTTTTCTACCAAAATGATGTCTTACATCTAGTTTGCTTTTGAAATAACAAAACACATTTTTGCAAAACTAGGAAAGAAATAAAGTCTATGAAAACTTGGTCTTTGTGACAATGTTTAGACTCTCATGATTTAAAAAAAATAAGCAGTATGTGTTTTGTTCAACCACTTATTTTCTCTTTGTATTAGGAATAGTGGCAGTTACAAAATATTCTTATATTTTTTAAAAAATGTAGAGCGTAATTTTTTCAATTGCAGTTATTTGAATAATTGAGACCATCATGACTAAGTACTGCAAGGTATTAATCAGAATCCTCTGGTTTCTGTTTCAACATATGAGATGAATGACTCATTAGATCCCAGTCAAATACTTGGATATGTTATCTTGCTAATTCCTCTAAGAACAATAAAACTTCTCATGTAAGAGTTTTAAAATATAAATCAGTAAGAAGTCACTGGACTTTAGAGGAAGAACTAGGTAACAGTTTAGTATCTCAGCTGTTGCTTGTATCTGAACAAATAGGAGAAGCTCTGCATGTTCAGCTGGACAGGTGTCTGCATGTGTACAAAATCAAAACTATCAAAAGAAGCCAACTTTCCAAAGGAAATCAACTTTTATATTGCTTTTCTCCCCAGCAGCTGTGTGGTTTGACTTCAGCTATTTTATTCTACTGCTGAAGTAAATGGATTCACATGTACCCAAAACTTTCAGCAGAATTAAAAAGGGAAATTAAGAGACCTGTACATCAGGAACAGTCAGGCTCACAACTCAGATTTCCTGCACTTAGTGCTGTATTTCATTAAAGAAACCAAGACAAATGAAGCATGTAAAAGGCACATGCAGCTCCAGCAGCAAAGCCCAAAGCTGCCTGTACCCTCAGTTAGCCTGACCTGTCTGTCAAGTAACACTGTAAACCAGATCACTTAAGCATTCCAAGCTAAAAATAATCTTAGGAAAAAGCAGAGGTTATTTTTAACCTTCCCCTCAGTAACAACACTGACAGAGCCAGTTCCCAGGTGGATGGCTCACCCTGTAAGGGAGAAATGGATGGTGGTGCTGGAATGGGAAGGAGCAAGTACCTACAGCTGGCATCCCCATCTATCCAAAGTCTCACAGAACTTCTGTTTCCAGAAGTGTAATCATTGCCAAGTAGCCCCTGTTCTGGTTTTACCCTGCAGCTGGGCAGGTTCATTTTTCTTTCTTTCTTTTTGATCCACAAACATACAGTGTCATCTCCTGAGATTTTTTTACAACATACCTGCAAAAAATGGAAAAACAAAACTAAAAAGTCCCCAAACTCTACCACCTGACCTATTAAACAGGAAAGGCAGAAATCTTCAGCTTAAGTAAATCCTTAATTTCACTAATATATTTTGAGTTTTGGATACACAATTCTGTGAAGTCACCCTTGATTGGAGGAAGGTTTCCTGATGTCAGCCAGGTGTGTTGTTAACTCTCTGAAACACTCACCTCTTCCTCTCGTTCCACATCAAGCAGCCACAAAGAATCAGGCCAGTTCTAGTGACTACCCAGTGTATCAAAACATGTATATATCCTCCCAAGTGTACACAAGCAGAGAAAACCCAAATCACTTATTCTGAGGAAAGTCAATGTTCAATCTTAATAGTTTATTATTTTTGTCCACTTTTACAGGAAGAATCCATTAATTTAATTAAGACCAGTTCCACAGTGACTCGTCTATTTCTTCAAAACAAGGCAGGAACTTTTGTAGGAAGCTTATGGGATACTGAGATTTCCCACCAAAGGGGCACAGAACATACACTTCAAATAAAACAGTTTGGATGAAGTGCAGCTGAAAGTGATCTTTAGCCCTGACATCCTGCAAAGCAGTGGAACAGCCATTGAGTGCTCAACAATAGCTTTGGCAGTGCCAAGTGCATCAACAGAAGCCATGGTTTCCTATCAAAGTTGGGCACTTGGCTCCTTTCAGGACTTCAGGAAATTCTCTAATATCTGGCTGTCGTTGAATGGCTCAGCTGCAGGTGGAATAGCTCCCCATCAGCCTGCTTGATGCAAATGACACAGCTCTGTTCCACACAGTGCAGGAGTTATTGAACCCTCTGTTCCCATGGGATTGATTTGTTTCACAGCTCATTACTGCAAGCTGCAGCAATTAATTTCTTCAGCAGTTAGCAAAGGACCTCCTGTTTGAGCATAGCCACAGAATCACTGTCAGCACTATCCCCAACTGGACCCAACACCTTCCTGCTTGTGCAGTGATCAGTGGGCAGCCCTGAACAAATCTCATGCCCCAAACACGGTCAGGGCGAGCTGCCTGTGCCAGTGGGAAGCTTGGCTTCCCAAGCAGTTTTGACTCCCTGGCATCAGCACAGCAGTGCCAAAGGGTGGCCACTGGCTGTAATTCCTGCTTCCAGATGAAGTCTGACAAAGGAGTGATCAGCCTGTACTAGGGGTGAACTTAAATCTGCAGGAATCAAAGGATAAAATCCAAGTGTAAGCTGCCCTCTCAATGGGCTGTAACGATTCCATTGAGGGGGGATAATAGAAATGAGGTAATGGCTGTGGATGCTCTTGAAGAGGAAAATCCTCTTGCATTTACTTCTCTGAAATTGTTTGTACAGCAGTTGGATTTGGCTCAAAATCAGCTCCCAGTCAAGCCTGCTGTTCCTTGAACTCTTGCTCCCAGTTCAGCACTGCATTTGCTCTGAAAGTTTTCAGTGCAGTATGGTTTTAGGACATCCTGCAGGACAGGACTACCCCAAAAGAAACAGTTTAACTGTTGGAATACACACTGCATTCAACCTGGGTTACTCAGGACTCTGGAAGATTTCCAGCAGTGCATGGAAACCACATATTTGAAACTACCACTGTCACCCTTTTCAGTCCAGTTTAAGATGAACTGCAAATCAATCTGCTCTCTCACCCCAGTGAAAACCAGGGTGTTTCATGGGATGAGACAGGGGAAGATCCCATACCCCGCCTGAGAGGGAGTTCTATTCCCTTTGGGAGTTTTCCTGAGGGAAAGGACAAATACGAGAGTTTCTGCTGTCTGTTTCTAATACAGGGTTGCTGGCTGCCTGGGAAGAGCTGGAGAATTCAGACAGACCACCAGGCATCACTTGTCTGCTAATTAAAAACCCAGTGGCACACCATGCTGCTTTGGAGAGCCAGTGCCTTCCCCAACAGCAGAACATCTTCTGTATTCCATAAAATATAAAAAGATACATCTGTCTCAATACTGACATGCACAGTCTTAGTTTAGATTAATTTAAATGTGGTACTTTATTTCTGTTTTATTGAGGCTGCTTTTTCTTGTCAGTGAGAAATTTACACTGAGGGAAAAACCAACCACAGCTAAAGCCTTATTCTTATATTATTCTTCAATAAATCAGAAGTCATTCTGTACAACTCAGTGGAAAATCACTTGTTTAAACTGAAATAAGTTTTCTACTACCTTTCTATAGCACACTAAGCAGGAATTATTGCTTATCTGGTGCCTTTTGTACTGCATAGGAGAATGTTTTGGTCTTGAAAAGTTTTTTTCACTGTGAGTAGTAGACACAGGCATGGCCAGGCAGGAGTTTTCAAAGTAATTATAGATACTGGCTTCCTTGAGAATAGAAACCTGAGGAAACTGGTGGTGAAGGACAACTCAGTTGGACCAGTACAGCCAAAGTAATAACAAAACTTATGAAAAACATCCCAACATCCTGAATTCCTGAAGCTTTTGTTCAGGCAAAAATTCCACTGACCTAGGAAACATCTAAAATGATGCACTGCAGTGCCAATAAGAGAACATGTAGCAAAGAGAACTAAAGTGTGTGAGTCCCTCACTGAGCTGGGGAGCATTACTCACACTCACTGACACTGTAATTTTCTGTATGAAGGAAAGACACTACCCCTTATTCATCTGAGCAGAGTCAATTACTGCAGAGCAGCCATCCAACCTTTTCTCCTGGTTCTGTGGGTTTTATTTTGTTTCCAATGATATAAGGTGGCCCAGCCAAATCCTAGAATCAGAGAAAGAACAGCCCCCCTTTTGTGATGTTTCAATGGATCAAACGTAAGAAAAAAAAAAATTTGTATCAGTTTCTAAACACCTGAAAGATTCAAATAAAAAGAGCTTGAGCTAACCTACATTTGCTGAATCTTATTTAAATACAGAATGCTTTGTCATCAGATATATTTAACCTCAGACATAAGAATACAGTTGCCTCAGAATTAGGCAGAAGTGAATAGATGCATGTGAAGACTCTATTTAATAAGATTAATTCATAATTAGAATGAAGTCTAGAGAAAAAACAACCAACAACCAACATCACAGGCTAGCAAAGAAAATTATTAAAATACTTTTTCCTGGTTTTAAAAAATGGATTCATTTCTTTGCAATGTGAACCAGGAAAAGCCATTGAACAAATGAAACATTTGCAGCCCTGAATTTGCTAGGGTTCCCTCAAGAACTACTCTAACTTTCAGCATTTTGATAAACGTTACTGTTCACCAGATTACAGGGAAGGCTTTTCTGCTCTCCTCACATGAGCAGCTTCTCTCTGTCCCTCTCTCTTCCTGGCAGCAGAAGTTTGCACCAAAGGAAACTATTAAAGAGAATAAAAGCAGAGGGTGTTAAGTTGGTTACATATTCAGTGAATGAAGCGACATAGTTACAAACAGGAGAATAAAGGCAGCAGCAGAACACAAAGCTGCTGTGTTCCACAAACCAGCTCAAGAAAGAAAGTGCTATTTGTGAAGGAGCAGCTCTTTGAAATTTCACAGCTTGATTCAGAGCCTTTGGTGCCAGAGAAGTCCTGCATGCCTCACTGAACTTTAGATCAAGCCCTTCTCAGTCTTTTACATTGCTGCACTTAACATTAAAGAATGACGTATTTTCCTTCAAGGTTAATCCTGTTAAGGAGTATTTTTAGTTACAGATAGCAAAGTTTTCCTAAAGGAAGCATTTGACAAGTTGTGCGAAAAATACTGCAATAGAAGTTTCATCTTTGGGCTCATGTATCTATTTGGCAGCTCATTACAGGCCTTATCTACTTACTTGAGGAAAGAATAAGCTTTGGTAAGTTTTATGGAACCCAAAACCTCTGAAAGCTTTTGTGATTAAAACCACAACATGGACTTACATAGCCCTTCAGCTCCACAAATAAACCTTTAAGATCAAGTGAGAGAGAACCAGTGAAAATAAGGTAAAGAAAACTGGACGTAAAGAACTAGAACAAGCACTAAAGGACGTTTTGACTGAGAGTCCATCACATTCCCCCTTTATTTCCTCCCTCATCTTATTCATTCTGCAGAATACTAGTACAAAGCAGGCATCAAGTTGGGATCAACCACTGATTCAGTTTCTGATACAACATAACCCCTTTGTACAATTGGGAAGCCCACCAGGTACTTCCAACACTTGTAACATGTTTTGAAAAGGAATCCTTGTGTTTTCTGTCCTGTTTGTGCACATCCACCTGTGCAATACAGCAAAAGCACTCACAGTCCCACAGTGCCTCATTCTTGCTCACACAGGTTGATGCATGTGCACATTTGGCTTTGCTCTATGTGGCTGACATGACTCCAAGGACTTCTTGGGAAGGACGTGCATATGGTGGGAAAAAAAAAACCAGCCCAGATGATGATTCACTGGGTGTGGATTGTTTTCATTAGGAAAGAACAAAACCCTGAAGCCAAAGAATTCTGTTTTAAAAGGAGGTTTCCACACTGAATGCAGATTCCTGCCTGGATCTGGCAGGCACCCTGCTGGCAGGGGCAGGGATCCTGCACCTAGCAACGATACCAGGGAGCTCCAGCAACGGTGCCTGGGCATTTGATTTCCCCAGGAAAAAGTAGGGAGGATTTGAGGGGGGAGAGCCTCTCCCAGCTATGCCTTGCCAAGCGCATGAGAGACGACAGCCCAAAACCAAGCACAAACCAGGTTCCTGTTTTAGAGTTATTTAACTGACACCAAATTATCAGAAAAGTGACACAGCTGTTAAAGCCTGGCAGTGGTAAAGCTGGTAAATTTAGGCATACCTTGGAGGCAGATGTCACCAGAGCATGTGTACTGATCTGCTGGATTTTACTGAGTGGTTTTATACTCTGACACAAGCAGAGTGTTTGAATCTGGAACAGTAATACTTCAATAAAAATTTGAGGATTTGTCTTCTAGTTCAGTCCTGTAAAAAACCAAGACATCCATTGATCATAGGCCCAAAATTTCCCCCAGTCACTTGTAAAGGCCTCAAAACTACAACTCAAGCAAGTTGTTTTGGCTGGAAATCACAATAAAGGCAGCAGCCTCCTTTCGTGTCCTGCTCTCCCAGCACTGCAGCCTTTGCCAGATTCCTGCCCTTGCTTCTAACAGATGAAGTTTTGCTTGCATGAGTGCTTGCTGAAATCTTAATCACATTTTCCCTAAGAAACAGGGGAGCAAAACAGGCAATGGCCCAGCAAGCCTGGTGAACTGTTCCTAGCGAGCCCAGGCTGTCTGCCTTTCCATCCTTTCAGCTTCCTTGCAGCTTCCTCCCCTTCTCCTGGCTGCTGCAGTGCCAGCTTCTGCTTTCGTGCAGGACTCAGTTCCCCATTGTTCCACCAACTCCCTGAGAGAGGCAAACCTTTTCCATATATGCTGATAGTTGGAGATTTAGTTCCTGTATTCCCATTTAAAAATACACTGCCTAAAGTTCAGCTGTTTCCATTATAGTTATTACTTGTCACTTCCTGCCCCTTCTGGCCTTGGATTTAACCATCAAACTTCAGCCAACACTCCACTGCAAAATCTTGACTTTTAAGGAAGAGGCTCACCTACACTCTGGGATTAATAGGTGCCTATGTAATTTTCACTTGGAAAATTAATCAGACTATTAAAACTCACTTGTCCTTTCTAGAAGCATAAAACTAAAACAACCCTTTTCCCCCAAAAATTATTTTCCTGTAGGTGATGGGAGAAATTATTTTGAAGCTAGCCTACTTCATAAAATCCAATCACTTGCTATATTATCTTGAAGAAGTAATATTTAGGAAAGATATTATTAACAGAGTTAATGTTGGATTAAGTTTTCAGAAGCAGTCTGCCTCAACCTGATGAGTCAGTCATATGGCATCTGAAATGGCAACATGCCTAGAAAGGCAATTTGACATTTAAAGTGACATTAACCCACAGGTTATCATGGGTTGGAAATTTCTCCTGCAAAATGAAAGGACTGGAAATGGAACTAACGCATCAAAGTTCAGACAATCAGCCCTTTTGTAACAAACTCAGATAAACATCTCAAATGAAAACAAAGGAATTGGGAGTGGAGGGAGCAGGTAGGAAGCATTTTCCACTTTCCTCATCATACAGCTGGGAAAAAATACAAAAGTAAAAATAAAGGCCTTTCTGCATTTCACTTTTTCTTGGCACTGTTACAGCCAGACACTTAGAGACCTACTTCAAATCTTTTCCCACGTTTTTCCTCCACTAGGAACTGGTGTTCCTTCACGCAGTCCCGCCTGGTCACATACATAGAAGCCTGCATGAAGGAGAAGTACATTGTCAACTCCCAGCAGCCCTGCCCAAACGGAGCCCCAGACTGCCAGAAGATCATGTAAGTGTCCTAAATAAAACCAGTGAAGAAAACAGAGTTTTCTCTGAAGTATCTAAAAGATGTTTTCAACAGTACTGAAGCCTCATCGTTATTTCTAGAGGAGTTTAAAACAAATTTCTATCTTACTTGGTAACAGTGACATTTTGGAATAATGTGTTTAATAATAAAATGCTCTCTACACCTCATAGAATACTATAGAATTCAGGATCAGTCCAACCATGATTGCAAAGGACTTTGTTACAATAAATCTAACACCTAGACCCTTCCTCTCCAGGTACAGGACAGCTCTGAAGCCAGTCTACCAAGTGAAACAGAAGACTCTGAAGTCTTTGCAGTGGAAATGCTGCCCTGGATTTACTGGCAAGGACTGTGAACAGCGTGGTAAGCAAAGCTGGAGAACAAGTATAGGAATGAATGACTAAATGCCAGGCACAATGGCAAGAAATAAATTTGCCTAATTTTTCTCCTTTTTTTTTAGAATTGATGCCTTGTTTTTTCAGTCTGCTATGTCCCAAATCACTGATACTTTGAGACAAGAGCAGTTATACTTAGCTGCAATTAATAGTTAAATAGCATTAGCTAATTATTCTTCTGTTAATAGCACCTTTGTAATATTTACACATGAAAAAAGGTATTAATTTGCTGGAAAGCCTGTCAGGCGTGCACCTTAGACAAGTCCATCTAGGAATGCCTAATTCCAGGTAGAAATTGGTGACATCAGAAAGCCACACTTGTGTGTGAAATGCCCTTATGGTCAGTTCACAGGATGAAATCATGAGCTGGAAATCACAAGGTGTCCAAGTTCAGAGGAGAGGGCAGCCCTCACTCTGCAGTCTGCATTGCTCCTCCTCTCTGCTTACCCTGGCTGCAAAGGCACTGGCTCCTCGGGCAGGGAGCAGCTCTACAGCACAGGCAGGAACAGTGCCTGTAAGCTCCAGGAGAGCTCTAGGAAGAACCTTTAGAGTGAACTACTGTAGCCCATTGCACTGGTGAATAAAGCAGTGGAGGCAGCAGGTTGAGGGAGGGGATTTTGCCCCTCTACTCTGTCTTCCTGAGACTCCACCTGGAGTCCTGCATCCAGCTCTGGGGTCCCCACCTTAAGGACATGGACTTGTTGGAGTGAGTCCAGGAGCACCTCTGCTATGGACGCAGGCTGAGAGAGCTGGGCTGCTCAGCCTGGGGAAAAAAAGGCTTCAGCAAGACCTCAGAGCACCCTCCAGTACCTAATGGGCTACAAGAGAGATGGAGAGGGACTTTTCACAAGGGCATGTAGTGGTAAGACCAGGGGAAATGGCTTCAAACTGAAATAGGGCAGGTTTAGTTTAGGTATTAGGAAGAAATACTTTGCTGTGAGGGTGGTGAGGCACTGGAACAGGTCTCCCAGAGAAACTGTGGGTGCCCCATCTTTGGAAGCGTGCAAGGCAGGTTGGATGGGTCTCTGAGCAGCCTGGTCTAGTGGCCTCCCTGCCATGGTCAGGGGGTGGGAATTAGATGGTTTTTAAAGCCGCTTCCAACCCAAACCATTCTATGATTCTGTAATCTGTGCAGCTGCTAATAAAGAGAGAGGGGAGATAGTGTGGTTTAAAAACTGAATGGTGGTTTAAAAATGGCATTGGCAAGATTTAGCAAATAATACTCAAAAAGCAGAATTTAAACAGATTTAAGAATTTAAATGGAATTAAGAGAATTTAAATGGATAAAAGGTAATTCCCTCTAGCAATTAAGTCAACCATAACAATAAAGGCAAACATATGTCTGAAAATGTTTCCACAACCTATGTCTAACTTACCTTCAGACTCCACAGATAAAAATCTCTGTAGGTTTAGCTTTTCTTCACAGATAGCTTTCATTTGTGGGTTGATCTCTTGGTGAACTTCACTCCTAATATTGGAAAGATATTACCAAATGCAGTGCAACTATTTCAGTCTCTCTATTGTTACACTCTCTATTGACCAAAACCAGCTCCTCCATCAGTATCTTCTATAATATTGGAAAGATATTACCAAATGCCGTGCAACTATTTTAGTCTCTCTATTGTTACACTCATTGACCAAAACCAGCTCCTCCATCAGTATCTTCTCATTTGTACAGCATCATTCACTGCTGCTGCCACCAGAATGTTCAGGTAACTGTGGAACAAGGAAGAGGAATCTCTAGATGGGACCCCCAGAAAAGAAAAAAAGCCCCATTTATTTGCAATAGACTAATTTCTTATGAGCAAAGCTTGGCATGAGTTAAAAATCCCCACACTACACCATATAGCACTGCCATGCATGCAATGTTGTTTGCCAGGGCAAGGAAAGTAAGCTCTCCAGAGAAGGTGCTCTTTCCCCAGGAAGCCTGTCTCCACCTCATTTACACAACACATGAAATTCCTGTGGGGTATTGCTAAACGGCAGTAGTTTCTGCACCTAAAACATTTTCACAGCTGTATCATATCTCAATTGCAGATCCTAATTTTATTCTGGTGCCAGGAACTGAAACTGAAGGACAAGAAGAAGAGTTCTCAAACCACAGTATGTGCTTGAAGTTATTTTCTTTGTGTCCTTTTACCTCTCAGTCACTGAGCAGGAAAAGAAAAGAGAAAAAAAGATTTGAAGCTGTAATTTTAAAGTGATAAGCTATGGACAAACTCTAGTGAAAGCATTCTCTGGGAAAGCTTTGAAACACTACATTTATTGACTTAAATGAGGGCTTTTGCTGTAACACTCTGTGAATATTCACAACAAAGCATCCCAAAGTTTCAAAGCTGTTTGGTCAACAGTGGATGCCAGCTGGTCATGGATGTTAACCCCTTGCTCTGCAGTGGGTTCACAGGAGAGCACACCGTGCTCACAAAAATCTACCAGAAAAGCAATCCACTGAAAATGCTATTTTAGAACGGCCCCCCAGTAGCTCTGAGACTACAATTACATTTGTATCTCAGGCACTCCACCCTACCAGTGTAAGTACCACGAAGGACCCTCCCTCACCACCACCTTGGAAGTGGTGTGGCCTGCAGTGCTATGAAGTGCCTTTCAGCAATTAGTTTCAGGGAAGTATTGCACACTTTTAAATCTACAGCACAAATCCAAAAGTATTTATTTAGAAAAACACCAGTTAAAGGGCCTCTCCATGAGTCAGCTCTGACATACACTGTGCTCCTGATTCCTCAGTGGAATGCCTCAATCGCTCTTTCATCCCCTCCTTTTATTCCAGGCTGTTAAACCTTGCCATCCTTTTAGTCAATGGCTTGAAAAGAGTTAGTATTCCAAAACATTTTTATGGCATGGGGAAATTTCTAATTAAGAGTATTTTATTGCCATCATGGCTGTTGTAGCTGAAATTCTCTGCAAATATTTGAATATATTAGGTTTCCATCACTGTTGGAAAAAATCCTTGCAGACAAACTGCAATTTAAGGTGCCAGAAATCACCAGACCCCCTAAATGTCAGTGCAAAATTTTCAGAATGAAAACCAGACAGGTGTTCTCAGAGGTTTTGCATGAATACCTGTCACCTGGTCGCTGCACCCTGTTGCATGACTTTGTTTTTCTAATCTTGTGACTAGTGTCAACATCAGTGGATTCAAGAGAAATGTTCCAAGTCATTCAGAATCATGAGGCTTTACTGGATGATCTTCAAAGTGATATTCATCAAGCAGCCAGCACCTTAGGTGACTTACAGAGACTATTTGAGAACAACGGTACAAGCATGGTGTTAGAAGTGAACGAGAGCAATTCAGGTGAGAGGTCTGATGCAGAATTATCAGCCCATGACAGGCCCTGTGAAACCACACAAATCAGAAAGAAAATGTGAAAGCAAAAATACCCTGATATTCCTTGGTCTGCTGGTTGCTTCTACAGAGAGATAAAATGGGTGCAATCCCAATGCAAATTAATCAACCAAAGAGTAACTTGAAATGGGAAATGAGAGGAAAGGCACTGTTCAGAATATGCCTTAATCACAGAATAAAGAGGTTGCTTATATTTAAAATTTGTTAACTTTACTATTCTGTTTCTATGGCTTCTTCTTTTTTGTGGGGATGCAGAGTTCAGATCTGTTCTTTTTCCATACTTATGCTGTACACTCTGATGTGTGGAATAGCACACTGGTGTTACATGAAAAAATGAAACATTTGACCCATCTCTGAAAGATTGTTTCTGCCATACACAGGAGTAGGAAAAAAAGAGCTGCTGAAATTTAACCTACCACAGTGTGCCACTGGCTTGCAGAAATATTTTCTAATGATACAGACTACACAGTACTCAGTGAACTTCAAGGCACTCGAGATTGAACTGCAAAGTTAGAAACTGAGCCTTAGTATAATTCTCATATACACCAGATACCTCATAGGTTTTTCAAGTTATTTACTCCTGACCTGGAATATTCAGCTGTTAAGATGCTGTATAACCCTATGGAGTTGAAAGCATGAGAAAACAACATTATGACACAGTCAAAAAAGGAAGAGCCCACTAACTAAGAACTGTTAAGAAAACGGACAGTTATGGCCACTGGAAAAAACACCTGTACACAGGTTTCAAAAAAGCATAATTTTTAAGATAAATGGGGAAATCAATACATATCCAAGTTATTTTCTGTGCAGTCTTAGACACCACGTGCTTCATTGTAACCTTGATTTAACAATAGGCTATTTTTGCAATTGTTGAAATTTATCATGAGGTCAGATTCTGGAGAGTAAGACAGCAACTACTATAGAAAAATGAACACTTGAGTTAACCTGGGGAAGAATTCCAAAAGCACAATTTAAATTTAATTTTTTTTTTCCAATTGTATTAACAGATCATCAGGAAAGACTTCTGCAGCAAGTTTTGTTTCCTCATGTGGAGAATTTTCTAAGGAAACAATTTAATCCAGTGTGGGCAAGCTTCAACAAAAGCTTACAGAACCTCTCCAACATAGTAAGAAATTTGTCCCATGATGTGGAGGCCAACAAGAAAAGCATAGAAAGATTCCAAGAAAGCACTGTGCCCAAGAAGGAATTCCAGGAGCTGGGAACTAAATTTGAATCAAAAGTCCAAGAAAACATAGTGAAAGTTGACCAGGCAAAAAGAGATATAGAGAACAAAGTGCACATGCAGCAGGCTAATATTCACTATAATCTCAGCATGATCAAGGCAGATACTGACACAAGACTCAAGAAGCTTCATAAGGTACAGCAGTCCCATTTCTTAGCTTTGAACAACAGCATAGCAGATATGAAACAAGAGCAAAACCTTCTTGAAAATAAATTGGAAGCTTTGAAAAAAAATTTAACAGAACTTTCTTTGCATCATGGTCCTAGAGATGAAAACAGCCAGTTAACCATGAAACATATGAATGAAATACTGTCAGGGCATGCCAAGCAGCTTAAAGAACTTTACATGGAGTCAGATGTGGCCTTTCAGAATATTGCCGTTTTAGAGAGGTGGTTTAAGGAGTTAAAGAAAAACATCTCAAAGTACAGGCCAGAAGATCTTACAATAACTTTAGCTGAGAAATCAGTTGTTATGGAAGAAAACAATGCAGCAATGGAAAGGCAGATATCAGAGCTCAACTACACTCTCTCAAACCTTCAGGAAAACTACTCAGATCTGCTGCGGTACATGGAGGAATGCAATTGCCAGAGAGTATCTACTGACACTGATGTACTGGAGGAAGATGCAAGGAATAGCACTTATTCCCTTGAAGATACCCAGTCAAAGGATATGAAGCACTTGGAGTCAGTTTTCAGAGATTTCTTCAAGAGTGAAATTGAAGAGCTCTCCTCAGCTATTCCATCCATCCATCTGTCTCTTAACCTCCGTCAAGAAGAGAACAGACAGCTTCAGTCACAGGTTATGGCTTTTTCAGAAGACATGGGCTTGCTGAAGAGCAAAGATGAAGAAATTCATCGGCACATCAAGTATCTCAACAGCTCTTTTAGCTCTCTTTTGAAAGATGCAATGCGGCACGAAGAAGCATTGGAGGCTTTACTGAGACATGAATTTCTGGATGTCTTTTTTGAAGATGATTTTAGTAGCCTAATACCATCAGTATTTCAGCTGCAAGAATCTCTCAGACACTTTTCAGATAAACTGCAAGAACAAAATATGACTTTAGAATCTCTCAGGAGGAGATTTCATCCCTTGGAGAGAAGTCACCAGAATAATCATGATGCTCACTTGCCTCCTAAGCACCCTGAGGAGGAAACACAAACCTCCTCTACTCTACACGAAGTCAGCAGTCAACACAGTGTCATAGAACACATGGAACCTAACTATGAGGCTGCCAAAGATGACTCCTTGGAGAGCTCAGCTTACAATGATATCATGACTCTGAAGCATGATATCAAACATCTGAGCCTGGCAATCAAGAGGCATGAATCCAGAGGTGACATAAGTCTCTGCTGCAATCATACAATAGCAAATGTAATTGAGCCACTCAACGTTTCTGTAGAAATTCTCTCTGCAGATTTAGCAACCATCAAGCGGAATCTGGAGGAACATCTGGTGACTTTCAAAAAACTGTTTGGAAGTAATGAAGAATTAGGTGCCTCAAATATAAGTCTGGATGTTACTAAGATTCAGTCAATGCTGCAGAAAAAAGGGAGGAGGCAACAGAAAGGTCAAGACAAGCAAAGAGACAAGAAAAGGTCTGAGAAGCACAGAGAAAATACACAAATAAGTGGAAGAAATACAGGGCAGACAGAATTTGTGGAAAAAGGTGTGTTCTTTTCTTTCACTTGCTCATGTACAGGTCTAGCTTCTTTTTAGGCCCTGATGAAAGTTCCACACACAGAGATATTAGTATTAGTTATAAGAACTATCAGGTATCTTGTGGGATGCTAGAGGGAGAAATTTTGACATTACTTACATCCTCCCCCTGCACCAGTTTAAATAGAGAAAAAAAAGCAGTTTGAGTGAGAACCATGCAGATATTCTGCTGTACTGTGGTTAAGACCAATAAAATAACTGCTATAGCTGCTAGGAAATTGGTCTTGAACTAAATCAACTTGAGGTGTTCAGAAGACAAATTTTGTTTGTAGATCCTCATGTTAGTGCAGTAGCACTCTTCTCTTTGGAAGCTGATGTGGAATGCTTCCTTTCCCCTGTTACTTTGTTACTTGGCTCTGGGAGGAGCGCACTCAAAGCACCAAGTCCTTCTCAAGACAGACAGATGCATTAAATGAACTGCTATAATTTGCACAGGAAATTATGGAACAGGCAGTACTGACCAGAGAGCACATTCTCTCTCTCTTACAACCAAGCTTCAGAGACAAGTTTCCAGCTTATACTTCACTGGGACTGGCCAGTTCCCTTTCCCTATAAGCATGTGACCATAAGCACCTGGTAATTACAAACACCACAACTTTAACATTGGCTTTTATGATTGCAGCCCTTGCTATAGACAAAGGGCAAAAATCAGCCCCTTTAGGCAGATGTGCTGCAAAACTGTAGTTAAGATGAATAAGCAGAAAACATATTCTTAACTGATTTAGTAAGAGAGTGCTATTTTTTCTCCCCCTGGGTGGTCCCAGCATTCCACTTCTCCTAGAGTTCCAGGGAATCATTTGGTCTACTTCAGTGCACATAACCATTTCCAGTGTCTAGCTTTGCAAAGAAGCATATAAAAATCAGGCTTGATAGGGATTCACCTTATCTCCCATCCTGATGATCCTGGGGAGAGAAGAGTGCTCACTGACTGCTAAAATCCTGTTCCTCTTTCTTTTTCAGACTCATTGGTGGCATTCCATGTGGGATTCTCAGAAAGAAAGGATAAAGAAAAAACTGTGAGGTTTAATGAAACATACCTCAATTATGGAAACAGCTATTTCTCTGAACATGGCCACTTTAAAGCACCACACAAAGGTGTCTACCTGTTCGTCATCTCTGTGGAGTTCAGCTCAGGACCAGCACTGGGACAACTCTCCTTCAGCCGTGGGTACAAAAGAACTCTCTCAAGCAGTCAGAGGAAAACCCCACATGGAAACACCATGACTACATTTGCTTTAGCAGAAATGGAGAAGGGGGAGACAGTGTGCTTTGAATTGCTGCAAGGCTCTGTAGTGAAGCGAAGCCCGCCTGGGACAACTATGGGTGGATTCCTAATATCTAAAACTTGAATAGTGACATTTATGTTTTATTAATCTCCTTCCATAGATGCAATGGATGCATTCACTATTGCTTCATCTGTGATGTATTCAATGCTACTGCATGTGTTTAAACATAGCACTACCCTAGGTTTGTCTTCATGCTTCTTTTCTGAAGTGTTTGGCTTTTGATTAGTTGCTTATGAGCAGCAATGGGATTTTCTTTCAAGTGAAAAGCTAATGGTTTGGACTCCAGATGTATCAGCACACACATTCCCAAATCCTTCCAATGTGAGAACTGCACATAAATGTTTTGTGGGACTTCACTTTTAACACAAATTTCTCCTTCCCCATGGCAAAAGAATATCCTCTCATGACAAATACCCCCAGTCAGTGGCAAGGAAAAGATTTTAGGTAGGACTGCACACTCTCATGTTATGTGAATGGACCTTAAAACGCAGAAGCCAGGGCAATTTTACCTTTTAATTCTCTGTGGACCACAGACTATCTTGGAAACTTCTGCAACTCACTCCAATGTTTCAGTCTGTGCACAACAGGAACACTAGAAGAAATCCATCAAACCCACTAAAATTCACTCCATTGCCAGTATTTGCAAGCAAGGATCTCCTAAATGGTCCAGTCTTTGTTTCTTGGCCTGTGAGGTATTTCAACTACAGTGCAAAAATTTAAAGCATTGTCAAGATGAATTACATTTACATTTAGACACTAGGAAAATATCGACAATATTTTAGAAGTATTAGCAAAAACACAGTTTATTTCTAAAGTTAATCCTAGAGATTATCCTGAATTCAGCCCAGAGTTCAGTATTTAGTAAATATTTTAAAACCAAGCAAGCAAACCCAAAATCAAAAGGTCAAAAGGCAAGCTCATTGGTCTGTTGTCACTGCTGAATATAAATTTGTGATGAGAGTAAATCAAAGAGTAGAACTTCTGAAATGTAGAGGGTTTTTTATTTCCAAAACTTCAAAGTGACCATGCCTGGTCATGTCTTAAACTTTTCTTTTGTCAAATAAAACTTCCCAAAGACTTCCACTTTAAAGAAGTTCAAGTATTGTGGTATTTTTATCTATCCTAATACCTTACATAGCAATATTAAAACAATTAAATTTGCCAAAATGAAATGCACTTTGAAATTACTAGTATTTTTGATGAACATATAAATTAATATGCAAATTACACCATTTTGAGGTAGCATTTTTTAACGAATCTATTCTGCTGCTAAGAATTTTCTCCCCACCTACCTGTATTCTAAGCAATACTAACCTATCATTAATTGTTAAAAACCCCCAAAACACCGGTACCAACACACAATGCACTTAAAGCAACAGTCTGACAAGCAGACAATACCTATCTTTTGAAATAAAGCTACAAAGCAATGTCAGCTACTGACTTGCTGAGAAGATAGTTTTCTCTATCCTGAAAAATCCAAGAAAACTAACAACAAAAAATGCTCCTTATCTCCTCCTGGCCAGTGCTGATTTCCACAGGAGATGCCCAGGCCAGGTGTTTCTGTTTTTCTAGCAGGGAGCCATGGCTCCCACTGCTCTGCTGCAGGCAGCACTAAGTGCCTGCAAACTCAGTGTCATTTCCTGTCCCACTTTTGCTCAAAATATCTGAGGGAAGAAAGAAGAATAAAATTGAAAGGGTGAAAATAAAGAAAACCATCAAATTGTAAGATTAGGTCCTTTCAGTACAAAGCTACCACCCTGGAGTGACTCAGATGGGTTTTTACCAGTGTTCCTCCAATTCCTGATTTTTGTGGTGGCAGCATTCTGCAGAGCCAGGCCAAGTGTGCTGCCCATGGCAGGGTGGTTCAAGGAACACCTCATCTTCAGTGCACACCAATTCTGCACCCACCAGCCAAGTTCCACAAATAAGCACCACTGGGGAATATGTGTATGTTACATATGGGGGATAGGGTACACATATGTATTTCAGAACATTTTGCTTTTAAACCCTTGACAGAAAGCTTCAACTGGAATGAAAACCACTTGGAAAGGGACAAACAAGGTAGCAGAGAGCATTGCAGTTCATCCAGTCAGGTTTTGTGTCCTTCCTTGTGTTTACCAGAGTACCTTTGTTGAAGAATACTCCAGATGAGTTCAGAGAACACTGACTCCAGAGTGAACAAAGTGTTCATTTAAAGACGTTTTTGTATTCTAAAGGTGTCTTCAAATACGTGCTTAAGTTAGCCATCTGCACATACAAAAAAGACACACTTGACTGGGAGTGCCCCATAATTTTTATGGGGCAAAAAATGAATGAAAGAGAATGGGATAAATCACTCTGCTGGCTGCTTAAACCAGGAAGACTGACTTCCTTCTCAAGCAACAAGAGAACAATGATTAATCTCCTGGGCTGTGGTTTTGTTGGTTCAAAGCAATAAACCAGCTTTATAATAAGCCTCCATCTATACCACTCTTGCATTTTTTTTGTGGGATGGCTGTTTGGCCTTTTTTATTAGATCAACATAGCCACACCACTATGACCTGTATTTTTAGGCAAACTAGAGAAATCAATTTAATAAAGATAATTTAAAATAAAGCTATTGGTTGGCTCAGGGGATTTAGGAGAATTTCCAAACATGAAAAACAACCTGAAGCTGACCATAGGCTCTGGGAAGAGTTGTCTGTAAGAGCTCCAGTTTCCCTCACAGCAGACTGACTAGACTAATGTGCCTGATGGCCAGGCAGCAATAGGCACAGAAACGTGTGCTCACTCCAGGATACAGATATATGTAATGTCAATCTGACACATATTCAAAAATAAAAGGTTCCAGCAGCTTTTAGTGCTTCCTAGAAACCTGCCAGAAAACATTGTCACTGCTTCAAGTGTATTGTATTTCCAGATCAAGGCACTAAGCTTTGTAATAAGGTAGAAACCTGTGCATCTTAGTGCCTTCATGGAATTATTTTGTTACTGATCTGCTACATTATGAATTTCAGTATCTTACAGTACATTTTAAAATTAAAGTCTCCTAATGTTTTTTGTTTCCTTTTCCATTAATAAGACAATCTCCTCATTGTACTCCAAATTCAAATACCAACTGAGTCGTGTATAAACAATTTTACTTTCTCTAGATCCAGCAATGCCTGAATTCTGCAGGTAATACCCACATCAAGGCAGAGCCTGAAGCCCAAGGAGGTGTCCCCATGAAGCACTCAGGAGGTGGTCAGCCCACAGCAGTGCTCCTTTCTGAGCTCACATTCACAGCTGACACTGATCTACTGCATTCACATCAGTGAGGAAGACCAAAGTGGTGTTCCAGGGAAAGGTGAAGATAAAACTGCAGAAGGAATTAAGGAAATTAACAGAACTAAATCTGATCTTTTCTGAATTTAGTGTTACTTCTGCTATTTATTTAAAAGTTCGTGATGCAGTTTGCTAACTACCCAGTTTGCTTTTTGGTGTGCCCACAAAACATGCATGTGCAGTGTTTACACATTTCACTGGATACTGCTGATTCACCTCTTATATGCTGATGCCAACTCATCAGTAATGTATTTTATACAGTGGTCAAACACACCCATTTATAATGGAGCATTTGGTATTTAATACTAGCAGGCAGTAGAACCTATTTTTACGTCTCAAAACTCCCCAGTTTCTTTCCCAAATGGTCAAACACACCCATTTATAATGGACAGCATTTGGTATTTAATACTAGCAGGCAGCAGAACTTATTTTCACGCCTCAAAACTCCCCATTTTTCCCAAATCCTTTCTTTAGGACACAGCACCACCGTGTGGTCCTGTCTCGAAGCAGCACCGAGAGAAAAGGCTGCTCAATCAACACGGACAGGTGCAAACACTCACCCACAATTCCCATCATGTCCTCCTGCAACGTTAACATGAAATCCCAGTGAAGACATTCCATTCCACAATAGCCACAACCACAGGAAAAAGGTTTACTTTGCCAAGATACTAGTTTAAGGAGACCAAATCTTTGTGCAGTCTAATTTCCTGGTATTATGTGTTAAAGGACAGAAAGGTTTGAAACTATATTGCTGATCTTTCCACTGCACTTTCCAGAACTATGCTGCAAGAATTTAACACTTGATTGTATAGGGAAAACAAAACGAGGCTTATAATTATAATATATTGGTAACAGTTTTTTATGGTGTTCAGTTACTTTCTAGCTACTGTAAAAAATATGTATTTAAATTTAAGATTATTCCTGATTAAATGCAAAAAGAGAACAGAAACTGATCTTACTTCTTTCTCCTTGTAAACTAAAGGTGGATTCTGTGGAGAGTAGAAGCCAATGCATTTCTGCAATGAGAAAACAAATTCTGGCTCTCTCTTCATAGTACTCACAGGTGAGATATCCCCTTGACTGGTCTTCATTTGCTTGAATCATAAAAACCAGAGTAAATTTAGCAGGATATACAGAAGCACCTGCATATTTTTGCAACAAGCAGTATATACACATATTAAACTCAAATATCTTAATTTGGATACTATACACCAAGAATGTTGTACACGGAGGGAACAAAAAGCAATTACGAAATTCCCCATCCCTTTATTTTTTCTGTTTTTACCTGGTAAGCTTGAGGCAAATTTATATGGATAAAACCAACATGTAGGGAACTTGCATATGTTCAAACAAAAGTATTATTTGATTTTGACTTGCTTTTGGCTTTGCCGTAACACAGGGATAAAAATCAGGAGAAGGAAACACTGTTTTTTACTGTTGCACCCAAATTTAAATATTGTGCAAGGAATAAAGAGCTTGAACTTAGAGAGCACCAAATAATTTTCAATATCATTGAACAATAAAAGCAGTAATCAACAACTTACTGTGGGGGGAAAAAAGCCATCAACGAGGTATAAAAAAGTAGGGAATTATTTAGTTACAGTATTAGGATTTCCAAGTTATTACATCTTTTAAGGCAAAATCTTATAGTAACAAAACACATTACTAATGCGTACTAAAATAAGGTTATTTACTTAAAAATGATACATTGGACATAATCTGTGTACAGAACAAGCAATTCATGGTAAACTCAATAAGGCACCTTCTAAAGCAGATGCTGTACAAAATACATTAGTGTGTTACATTTTTAAAGTAGTATTCTACACTTCTGGCATATAACACACACAAGAGTGTGACCATTTGTCTTGTTCCACTCTTCTTTCATATTTTATTTACATCTTCCCTAGGTTAACTACAATGTTATTTATTCTTCTTGTATACAATATAGTACATTTCATTTTGGGCATGTCATGTCGGAGCACAAATGTCACTACATGATGTGGGCTTCTAGAATTGCATTAAACAGGAAAATTTCACAAAGCAACAATTACATTGTCAAAAAACCAGAAGTAATGTGCCCTCTACTTCTGCTGTTCAACCAAGGCTGAGCACCATGGTTCCATAAGGACTCTACTGTGCAACACTGCCAGCTGCTTTTAGACATCACCCCTACTTGGAATAAAGATTGTGGGCACAGGATAAAGACTTAACTCAGAGGCACTGTCAGGAGAGTGAGCAAAGGCTAAATCGTTTTAATATTTCACAGAAGACAAGCATGTAACTTCCCTTTAAAAATATCTGCAATAGCAAAAGAATGTTTATTAACTTTATATCTCTGCTCTTCAAACACTTTTAGACCATTAAAATACAGTCTGTTAAGACAGAATAGATGAAATGTATCCAAATGATTTGTTTTATAAACACATTCAAATGGTCATTTAGATCAAGATCTAAAATTTGATTCTAGACTACTATGGAGGTAACTTAAAATATTAATTTTACATTTCATTCAAGGCCTCAAAGAAGGCTACTAAAGAAAATAATTCAGAAAAAGTGATGGATATTGGGAAAACTGTTTCTTGAGGAAAAATTACATTAAGTAAAAATTCAGAATAAACTCAGAATGTAAGCCTAATTTTCCCTATAGAAATACCACATTTCTGGTGGAATTTGCAAGTTAACCAGGAACACAAAAACTTTCCTTTTAGTTGCTGTAACAATAAGAATGAAGTGACTCCAATTATTTCCATCTAAAATCAAATGGAACAATAATCAATGAACAAAAAAATCCCTCCATATGAGTGTTTAAGAACTTCCAAAGGCACAGTCTTGATACTCCCCAAGGTATTTTCCACACAGCTGATTTTTGTATTAAAAAAACAAACCAAAAAAACCCCTAAAGAACTACATTTGCCAGTTTTGGAAGATATTTTTTTGAACGACAAATGCCTAAAATTTTGACCACCAAAAATGAGATTAATCACAGTCCAATAGAAGAATCTTATTACTCTCTCTGACCTTAAAGGCTTCTGAACACTACAGGATTGCATAAAGCAACAACTTACCTTTGGAGTCTGCATTAATTATGCTTAGTTAAGTAAAAATTAATGGGCTGGCTTAGAGCACATTTTCCCCCCAAATGATTTAAGTATCAATGTAGACATCCTTTAGTGTTAATGTTTTGTTGATTATCAGAATCAAGGAAGCTGCTGTTCAGCACAGCAAAAACTACACATCCATGATACATTTGAGTATGAACAGAGTAATTGAAGTGCTGATAAATTAGGTTTAAGGCAAAAAAGATTTTTTTTCTCTCTCAAAAAACCATCTTTGCAGCAGTTGGCTCTATGTTAAAGTAACTTGAAAATCAATTTAGGTCCTAAGGTGTCTAACCATCCTATTGCTGCCTTGCAAATACCTAAACAATGGAAAAGAAAATAAGGGAAAATTTACATATTATTGAAATTCATACTTCCAGAAGGGGCTTCCTGAAGAGCTGGGAAAAATGAACTAAAAAAAAATAATTCACAAAACATGTTTACAGTTAATGAAGATGTGGCAAATTCTAGAAGAAATGACAAAATGTTCTACATAGGATGGGGTTAATTTAGACAGATCTCCATGCTCTGAAAGTTTAAGCTAGCAGGGTATCTACATAAACATTTTTTCCTTCTTATTGATAAAAATTCTAGAGAAGGAAAAAAGAGCTTATCCCTTACTTTTTTTGGCTTATACCAAAAGTTTTCCAACTACCTGTGCAAAAATTATGTGCGAAGACATGACTAACAATTTCAAATCATCATAAATTTCTTGGCAATGGACGGAGAAACATTTTTTAAAAGCCCTTTATCATGAGGATTGTGGCACAATATCATAATTCTCTTGCTGTTTTCAAATAAGTTAAAGTTGACATACCTATGAACTTCTCGGCCAGAATACATATTAATACTTAAAGGCATTACTAAACAAAAGTAATGACTTTATTTTAAAAAAAAAGTCCCTTGAAATAGCTAGTTTTCTATAAAATATGTAGAACTGTTAAATAAAGTCTGTACATCACAATAGAAAATAAAAATACTGCAATCTTTTGCCTGACCATTTACATTATGGGAACTACAGGATTAAAACAAAAAGGTAACATGCTAAAAGGTTGTA